GCGTCCTATGGTCCGGTGCGTCTTATGGACCGCAAAATACGGTATATATAAAAATAAAGCAGCTCTAAAGTGAATACCTAACCAATATCTTTTTCCCACCCTTCCTCCTCTAACGGAAAGATGTACTCCAGGCACAAAAATGTTTATCAAAATATATTCCCTCAAAATGCTCAACATATGCAAATCTACTTTGTGTGTACCAAATGCTTTTGCAGACCCAGGTATCACCTTGTAAAAGTAATGGTGACATCATCACTGTGCTGTACATAGTCTGTGCAGAGAGCAGAGCTGTGGGAGGGACCCAGTAGGCTACACCCACTACAGAAAACTATGGGGGGGGGGGCGCTAGTGGAGACAAGACCATCACGCTGCACAAGGAGAGATAGCAACAGTGACTGGTCTTTATTACAGGAAGCTCAAAATTTCACGCTGTATTACTGCAAGATCTAGAAGAAATACACAAAGCTCACCAAGATTTAAGTAAAAGTACATATCTCTTGTGTTTAGACAATATTTGCTGATGCCATAGGCATACAATTGGGTTCTGGCACTGACAGCTAGAGGGATGCAGATAGTTTAATATTAAAGAGATAGTTTTTACATATCAGGTTACAGTATGGCATAGAAAGGGGGCGGGAGTAGATAATCAATTTTATTATTATTATTATTATAATAATGCAGAATTTATATAGCACTAACAGTTTGTGCAGAGCTTTACAATATAAAGAAAACAGTTACAATACAATTCAAGACAAGATGGTTAGGAGGGCCCTGCCTGTGAGAGCTTACAATCTAAAAGATTATGGGGTCTATTCACCCTTGTTATTTCTACTTGAGCTGTACAGGTCCTTATCTGTATATGGGATATGTCATATCAAACTTTTTAGGTTTCATTTTTTTTAGGCTGACAACTTAATCTTAACAATCCTAAATTCTTATGATTTCATAAGGGCTTATGCACATGCCTGACAACATGCCATACGTCAGGTATTGGTCTACACGCACATGCATACGGGCGTGCAGCCCTGAATGCGGACTCTCTGCATTCAGGGCTGTGTGCCCATATGCGTATGTGTATGGGAGGCTGAACACAGCACTTGTGGCTCCTTGGTGGGGGGAAATATGCTGGAATTTATATTGTATGACCACATGCAGCAATAAATATTTACACAGTCCAACAAATGGTATTATATACAGTAGGTCAGCTTGTTTTTTGTTAAGCTTTTTTTTTTTTAGAAAATCTAACCTCTTAGAAAAGATTTTCTATTTAGTACACTTTTTTAAATACACCTATAGGTGAACAACCAACCTACACAAGGCTTATTAACATATACTGGACATATACTGGACATTTATCTGATACTTTTATACCAACACCGTACTTTCATTCTGCAGTATTTTTATCCAAGAATGAAGTTCAGTGCTACAGCTTTCTTGTTCTCCTCTACCCTGAGAATAACCATTCCGATGGCTGGTAATAGTAATGACAGTAATTACTATGTAACCTCAGGCACAACAAGGATTTCCCTCCCTCCACCCCTACCACACACATTGCTGGTGGGCTTAGCTGTGTCCATCCATCACAAACATTAACCTTGTTACATACAAGAAAGCATTGTATTCTTCCTTCCCTTTATATAAAGCTGGTCAGATGCCTTCCCTGTATTACATAATCTGTGGGGTTCCAAGAAAATCATTAGAGCTGGGATGATTTCCTAAAGGAAAATGTTTTACAAATATATAATGAAGCCAAAAATCACTCCATGACTTATTTAAAGCAAACTGTAGTGGGGAGGTATAGAGACTGCCATTACTGGTCTCTTTTTGTCATCTCTGGTCTATTTCTAACAATCCTAGTCCATTGGCTCTCATGCTGATTCATTGCCTTCAAAGTCACTGACTCGGAAGAATTATGTAGATTAGAGTCATGACTTCACTCTGACTTTCCAAATCTTCATGCTAGCTCCAGGCCATTCAGAAAGCATTGCAGACAGCCAGAAAATTTGTATTTTCAGGACATGAGCAATGGCAGCCTCTTTAGCTTTTTTTGTATAGGTTTCCTTTTAAGGGACATTTACTTTGCTGCTGCAAGGATGAGTCGCTCCTCCCACCTTGGCCATGCAAGTAGTAGTTGGAACACGGTCAGGTTCCTGTGGCCTGGTCTTTCACATATTTCTCCATGTATATAGACAAATCTGCAATCTACAGATGCTTGGATATGAACTGAGTTTTGTGAGAAGCGATGAAAGCGTATAATGAAAGATGCTATCAGTGTGGAACGGAAATTTCCCATCTATTCATTTTGATGTCTTAGTAGATATAGTTCATCCAATACACTTTTAGATCGTAAGCACTCAGGGGCAGGGCCCTCCTTACTATCTTGTCTTGAATTGTATTGTGATTGTAATGTCTTCCTTATATTGTAAAGCGCTGCGCAAACTGTTGGCGCTATATAAATCCTGTATAATAATAATAATACACTTGCAAGTGCCTTATACAGGGCTGCATGAACTGAATTTGCCCAAAGGCAACCAGTAGCAATTATTGGCCTTGCCATCAGCCATTCTTATTACTGGCTGGAGTGGAAATGAACAGCTTGAATGTGAATTTCTTTGCACATAGAATGTGCCTTTGGCTCCCACTCTATATTCCATTCTACCTTTCTACTAAGAGCAGTTTGCAATGGTGTTTCCTGATGTTCTAATTTAAAGGAGAACTATGGGGTTAAGGCTTTTCCCCATAGTTCTCCTTAGGGTAACGGGAGGACACAAACTAGCGTCCTCCCGTCACCCTAAGCTCAGTATACCGCGAGCTGTTGCGGCAGAGGCCTACCTAGAGGCAGAGCCAGCTGTACCCACCTCTCCCCCGTCCGTTCCGCCAGTCAGCGCTGGCGGATCAGAGCGGGTAGGGGGGAATCCAGCCCCTCCCCTGTCACGGCAGAGAGCCGTGACAGGATCGAGAGGTGAACGAACGCCGGTATGTGTTCGCTCACCTTCCGATCTACTGAGCCGACCTGTGACAGTCTCATTGTCACAGGTCGGCTAGAACTATGAGGTGAGTGAAAAGCACTCACCTCATAGTTCTCCTTTAACAAGGCTATTGTTGGACAATCCTGCCGGCGTAGAGAGCTATTATCTAATGTCTGTGGTCACCTAAACATGAACTGATCTGCCTGACCTAATTTGTCAAAAAATCAACTCTCGTGTGAATAGCAACTGCAGGACTGTCATCGCACTGGAGAAAAGTCACTTAAACAAGACCCTAAAAAAAAAGCTTAAAACATGTAAAGGGTCCAAATACCTTAGATACCTTTAAAAGAAAATCACTTATGTCTGATACCAAATTAATATCTGGAGTAGGTTAGGAAGTTATGCTTTATAAAGAGAATGGTGTTGGTCATCTGGTACCAACTAATAGCAAATGCAGCAGGTAAAGCAGAAACAATACCACTTAGACTTCCATGGTCCAAGTATGTATATATCGTATAGGTAACTATGAGAGCAGTCATACCAATTTTGCAGACGGTGCAGCTGCACAAAGGTCCTCTGGAACTTAGGGTTCCATTTTTACTACATGCAAATTAGATGGGTGTTGTGACCCCCCCTACTGGCACATAGACTTGGACACAGCTTGCTTATATCTAGGTATCAATCAATACACAGTTAATATGTCTTTTCAATAGGCCAGTAGGTTACTAGGGGGCCCAAAAATTAATCTTCCACAGGTGCCTACAAACATTGGATGATCAAGATGTCTCCACTTATGTGGAGTATAACTCTAAAAGGGAAGCTCTTGAGTGCTTCCAGTTTCTGGTCAACCAAAACAAAGATTTTGATTGCTTGCTATGAGCAAAACCTGGACTTTGGCTCATTTTAATTTTTACCCATTTTGTCATAAATCATACAGTCTACAGTAAGATTGCATGTGCACACATGTGATAAAAATTAAATATATATATTTGCTAGCATCTGAGCAAAGTCTTACGTCGTTTGCTAGCTTTCAACAAAAGTATTTATAACATTCTACGTAGGCAAAGACAAATCAGAACTACTGAATAAATATTTACAGACATTAGGTACCGACTAAGAAAATATACCTTTAGAGCGGTGCTCTTTAAATTAAAGTAACACTAAACGCAGGAGTTAAATCTCAAAAATGCATTCAAGTACCTTCATTATTAAAAATGTTTCCTTATTTGTGTATCACTCGGCTGTAGATACTCGAATCATCTCTGAATTGGTGCTAACACTGTCTTTCCTTCTGGAGGGTGGCTACTTTTGTTCCCCATGGTCCCTGTGTATGTTGTTAAGAGGCCACTGCTCCAAGCTCGCTCCCGTGATGGACTACAATCTCAATACAAATTAGTAAACTAAACATGAGATTGTAGTCCATCATGGGAACAAGATTGGAGGGATGACTACTTTACAACACACCCAGGGACCATAGGGAACAAAAGTAGCCACCCTCCAGAAGGAAGAGCAGTGTCAGTACCAATTCAGAGATGATTTGAGGATCTACTGCCAAGCAATACACAAACAAGCTAACTTTTTGTTAATAGTTAAGGTACTTGAATCCATTTTTAATATTTAACTCCTGAGTTAATGTCACTTTAAATCACTCTAAGCACATTTAACTGTTTTTGCACAAGCAGCCTGATGGCAAGAAACCAGGTAATGCCTAATATGTGACTCCCTGGTAAACACATAGACGTCTGATAATGAGGTCTATCAGGATTACTGTACAAGTGTTTCCATGTGAAGTAATCCTAGAGTTTGAAAAATGTATCAAACTTCTTCTCTAGCAGTCTATCTCCTATCCAGCTAAAGAGAGATACGTTGTTAACTAATGCACTGCTGGCTTATGTTTGGTTTATGCCCCCCATCACATAATTACATGTATTGTAATTAAAGCAGCCCCCTTTCCCCCCAAGACAGACGCACACTGATAATAGTGAGAATGGCTGGTCATACCCCGATGGATCCCACAGACTTTCTGTATACCTGTGCTCCTCCACGCTCCTATTCTCTGCTGTCTTCCAATCGGGCAGGGTGCTGGCACACAGGACCACCATGGAAACAATGACAAACAGTATGGACACCACTGCCAAGATCTGAGCTGCCAGGGATGAGGTAGGTTCCTCAAAAGTCATTCTCATGCGTTCCAGCCACTTCTTGTCCTCAGGAGGTGGAAGGTCTTCTTTCACGGTACTCTCATCAGGCTTGCTCTCGTCGGACAAGTAGGTGTAAGTGTCCGACATGCGGTCATCAAGCCTCCTCTGGCAGCAGTACTCTAGTTGAGAGCACTCCAAGCCCCAGTAGATCATCTCGTTGTAAAAGGACAACTCGCACATCTGGGGCACAAACCTCAGTTTGCCATACTTGACGTACATCATGATAAAGCCAAAGGCTTCAGAATGCCTGTCAAAGAAAAACTCATTCCTCTCCTTATCGTAGTCGTCACACACCTCCAGAACATCTTTCTCCGAAGAACAGTTGTGTAGCCTGCTCACCCGTCGCAGAGGGAAATCCTTAATCAGCTCCTGAGAGAATGAATACTTTGCACCCCCGACATTGAGAGTAAAGGAATCCTGGGAAAAGTTCATTGCGGTGGCCAAAACGTTGGTGCTGTCCTTCAGTACCACCCCAAGTCTCGGGGGGCCTTTCTCCTTAAAGTTTTCACTCTGTTTCCACCTCCAGATTCCTTACAGCCTATTTGTTTGGGTGGGTCCAAGCAGGTATAAAAAACAGGGCACGGCATGATGAATTAAGTGATGACAATGCAGACAATTTTAGCAGTTCAGATCTTGACCCCAAAGGTCCAGCATTTCTCTAAGGCTCCCCCTGGACTACATCTTTCTGCCACATCATCCGAACTGTCTTGCAGCCCCTTGTAGTTTCAAGTCACCAGGTCTCTCCCCCACAATGTATTTTGAAAGAAACTCTGGAGCTAATGAAAAGGAGAGATGAGAGGAAGAGGGACAGTGCTGAGAGCTACCAGCTCTACTGCCTGCTCTGTATCTGGTGAACTTTACTCAATGTGAGAATCACTCAGAAGCAGGCGGGGAGGGGAGGGAGAATGGAGGCGATAGGGGAGGTGGAGTGGCTTATGTTTGCTACACAATTCTCCTAGGTACTTTCCTATAAAGCTCTATTACACAGATGACTGTAACGTCACTATATACATGCTGTACGCTGACTGCTATTCCTCCCTTACCAGTCATTAATGTGTTAAAAGCATCAATAGTATTGGGGCACCTGGAATAAGTAGATGAAGCCTACTTCATCATTTCATTGTGTTACTTTCCATCACTTTTCTTCTGAGAGAACAATATCTAAAAGGAAAATGTGGAGAGTAAAATGAATATACTCTGTATTCCTTTCCATCTTTCTCTCTTGTCTTCTCTCATCCTCTCTACCTCTCTTTCTTGTTCTTTCTCTCTCTGTGTCTTTCTCTCTCTTTCTTCTTTCTCTCTCCATCATGTATGATGTAATACAATGACAAATCCATCATTTAGGTAGTACCGTGTCAGTTGATTATATTCTATTTCTCACGAAGGAATGTGTATTGTTTTATTAATTTCTTAGATCAGTACAGCAAAGAATGCACTCACGGATGGGATGACAAGGGGAAGATCCCAGTCATACAGAGTATAAATGGTAAGCAGGTCTCGCTCGGTGTCTATTGCTGCTCCAGCTGCTAGTACATTAAACCGTTCTTTGAAGCATTGATGTTACCAGCCAATACGATACACACAGCACTGTATCTTCACCACTGTGCTGCCACAAAACACAGTTTGCTTTGAATTACAGAATGCTTGTGCTTACTGTCAGTACTCGGTATAAATAAATTACACACATCTATCTAACCCAAGCTGTTCGATTTACTGATGTACTTGTTTAACCCCTAAAGCTCCTGATATAAAATACCACAATGCAATGCTTTTATGCAATTATTAGGAAGTCATTACATTTATTTTTACATGTAACTAGAATAAGTACCAGAATCTGTCTTATTATCAACATCTGCATTGGTAGAGGGTAAACCAGCTCTGGAAGTCGGTCTACCTCTACTGCTTTGTACAGTGTTCTATGGAAACAGGACAGGAGAGGGGCGACTTTATAAGTTTGCTGCTGCCCATTTACCATCCAATGACAGGCTGGAGCGGGTTTTGAACTTGATTGTATTGCTTTTCTGCTGAGTAGTCTGAAGAGAGGTCCAGGACCTGGTAATGCAGCATTAAAGGGGTGCACGGCTGAAGAAAATTCCAAATCCTTTAGTAGATAAAACCCTTCACATATATGCTTTTAAGCTGTGTATACGACTGCTTGCCTTGAATTCAGCTCTATCATATTTTATAATAATGTAATAATATAATAATACAAATATTTATGTCACATATGATTTTGTATCTTTGTAGCTACAGGTTTCTAAGGTTTCCCTGATTCTGGTGTTTCTATTGGTATGTTTAAAAAAAAATGCTTCTTCAGACTTCCCTGTATGCAGTTTTTCCCTTCTGAAACTGCAATAGGCTGTACTGTGTATGGGCTACAGTGACCTGTGTCTGGTTGGACGCAGTGTTTTCCTGAGATTTGCACAGCCACTTTGGACCCAGATAAATATATACAGCCCCTTCTGCAGCCATGGGGGGTGCGCTGCAGTATGGAGAGAACTGAGATAGGGACAGTGCACATGCTGGTTAGGGAGACATAGGCCCATGGCAGGGAAAGTTCCTGATGAGCAGGGACAGTGTAGGGACAGTCCATTATACCCCTGGAGACTGCAGCAAGTTTTAGGCAGAACCCTGTTCTAGACTGCAATTGGTTTGGTACTTTCCACGTTCTATATTGCCAGCGCAAAAGACTATCAGGAGGCCACTTTATACCAGTGAAGGGGACCTGTCTAAGCAACACTCCTCGAGCATGAGTGATCGGCTCTCAGCTCTCTTTGTGCTGTTTCTACCTCCCCGAGTCTGAGCTCTGTTTCACAGGGACTGCGAGAAGCTGATACTAAGTAAAGCTCAGGTACGTATACTGCTTGTGTTAAAAAAAATACATTTAAGCTTATATTATTGAATACAGAGCTGCAATAATTAGTGTCTTTTATGTCTACCTAGAGTTCTGTTTTAAGTATGGAGTAATTTTAAAAGAAAAATATTGAATGTAAACAGTGAGCACTCATTTGTGTTTTCATTGTAAACTTTAGCTGAAAAACATTTAAAAATATTTTTTTTAATGTTTTCTTTTTTCGGGTAAATATGAACTGTTTTATATCACAATTTAGGTTCTCCTTTTGGGCAGCAGGTGGAGATCTGCTCTCATTTTTACGTGATTGATCGTAGCTGAAAAAAAATCGGGGGGATGACACAGTCTGAGGTTTCAATGAGGTAAATCCTGCCTCAAAGCAGGCTGCTCTGCTGCGCTGTATCTTTAGCTGACTCATACTGCTCTGAGGCTCCTTTCTCATATATTATATGTTTGTAAATCAAAAACTGTAGGATGATAAAAATCTATCTATCTATCTTTATCTATCTATCTATCTATCTATCTATCTATCTATCTATCTATCTATCTATCTATCTATCTATCTATCTATCTATCTATCTATCTATTGTGGGGCATCAGAGTTGAACCACTGAACACATTAGCTTTTATGTTCAAAGACTCAGAAACATTTTAAATGATATAAATACATATAGTGGCATTTGTCAGAGAGCATGTGTCTTCTGAGTGAGGTTAAATGCATAAATGTTAGGGCTTGTTCTCACCAAATCTGGACCAGATCTGGAGCAGTTTCTGCATATGCAGTGCAGTGCGTTTTGATGCATTCCAGGCCGTTTTTTTTGTGTGCCTAAAATGGGCTTTCAGGTGTAGTCCAGTGCGTTTCAAAACGTTTGCATGAATTTTTTTATGTGTTTGCATGCGTTTTGGTGCGTTCCAGAGCAGAAAAACTAGTGCCCACTGGAGTTTTCCCACATGCACTGGAACTGAACACTGTGGTGTGAACTAGAGCCCAAAATACCATTGGAATACATTGGATGCATTATTGATGTGTTCTTAAACTGCTCTGTATCTGTTCCGCACTTGGTGTGAACAAGCTCTTAAAGCTCCAACCTCCAAACAGATAAAACTAAATAACACACATGGATACAGCTCTGTATTCAATAATGTATAATTCAATGTATTTTTTTAAGTACCTGAATTTTGACTTGGTATCAGCCTCTTACAGCCCTGTACAGCAGAGCTCAGGCTGGGAGAAAAGGAGGCAGAACAAGAAGCCAATCTGTTGTGCTGTGGTGCTCTTTTACCAACAAGAAACATACTGATAGAAGGAGAGAGCAGCGTGACAATGAGATGTGCTCATCAGTCTTCTGCGACTGCATCTCCTTTCACGGTCCAGTCACAGGCTGGGGGAGGGACAAGACCTGTAAGTGTTACTGAACAGCAGCAGAGAAAAAAACAGGTCTCCTGCCCTGCCGGACAGAGCTGCCTTATGTGACAAAGCTGTGTAAATTCCAGTACTGGATAGACAGAAATACAAATCATTTGGTAGGTAAAGCAGCTCCCATATATGCATTTATTCTGTGTATTTAGCTGTTTGCCTGGAATTCAGCTCTACTATTTGACTGTAGGTAGTACACCTTTAAAACTGCATTTCCTTTCATCTTTGGCTAGTGGTCCCTGGATTGTCATTCCTCAAAACGCACGTGCGTTACGGTGGGGAATCCTTGCTCTGGTACAGAAAATCACGGTGAATATTTTAATCTGTTTTTGTCGTTAGTATTCATGAGCATTTTAATACCTCTACATGGGATTACATTTGCAGCACTTAAATTGCAGAGATTTGAGCTTTGAAAGATGCAGTTGAATTAACTCACCCACCTGACACCTCTTCTGTAAACCTGGAAGAGCGCGAACGCACCAAACACATTTGGAAAGGAAGCTGTGCAGGGATGGCTGAGCAGAAATAATGGCGTATTTAGTAGTATGTTCACATATTAATTAAAACATCAGATGTTATTTTGCTGGGTTTGGATGAGAAAGAGATATTCTGGGCACCTTCTAGACGCAGTGGGGGGGGCACCATTGGAGATAGACACATGCACGGATCCACTTTTGCATATCTGTGATGATGTTATAGCAGGCTTTTTAAAACTCTGTGCACAAAGGCATCAGAGGAGTGTTTGGCGCATGTCCCTAATGCCTGGCAAACGCCTCTTGGTGCCTGGGGCAGATATTGTATGCTCAGATGAATGGCTCAATACACCCAGGCACTTAGTGAAGCATCTGCTCTATTTCACACTGTGTTATGTTAAAAAAAAAAGGTAAAAACTTGGGCTGACTAACATTACTTTACTTTTTATTGGTTCCATAGATGGGTCCACCTGTCTGCAGAAGCATTTCAAGCCAACAAGAATGTTGGCTGGCACCAAATATTTTGGAAGGGCTTCTGGATACCGAATCTCTGTGTAAAAGCCTTTAAGTACAAAAAAATTTGATACACTCGATTTCCCGTGTACCTGTAGCTGTTTTACTTTGAGGCTTCTGCTTTCCATATCTACAGTTATTTCTCTTGGAGTGACAATACCTTAAAAGAGAACTTTGCATGACCACTTTGCATGACTGCTCTGCCCATAATAAAAATAAATAGTTGTTTCTGGGCCCACAATGCTAAGGGGGCCACCACTAGATCTTCTGACATCCCTGGACTAAAGGGGCATAACCCACTATGCCCAACATAAGCCCCACTGCTTGTTGCTATAATCAGCTTGACTGGAACCCTCTGGTCAAACTCAGCCAACATCAATACATAGGCAGAGTTTGAG